GACATTGACAAGAAGGTTGGTTTGGTTGTACATAGAAATGATAAGCAGGTTTGAGAGAAATTGATTGAGATGGAGGTACGTGATAGAACGATTGCGGAAGAACATGGGGTTCGCTTTGATTCTAAATGAAGATTGGCTCATTTAATTGTCGAGGGCTGGGGAGCGAGGTAAAGCAAAAGAAGGTGTGTGAGATTGTTCGCTCTGAAGGTCTGGAGTTCTTGGCGATTCAGGAAACAAAACTTGAGACATGTAATAGTAATTTATGTGCGCGTCTGTGGGGTTCTGTGGATTTTGATTGATGTGCCTTGCCCTCCATTGGCAGAAGCGGGGGTATGCTTTCACTTTGGGATACTTCTAAAAGTAAAATACTTTTCTCCTTTTCTGGTACTGGGTTCCTGGGTGTTTGCTTGCAGGTATTGGCTATTGGAAACCTATGTGTTGTGGTGAATGTCTATACATCGTGTAGACTAAGTGAGAAGAGAAAATTATGAGAAGATTTGCTCATGACAAGAAGGAGTTTTGGCAAATTTATGTGGTGTATATTGGGTGACTTCTATGCTATGAGACATGTGAAAGAGAGGAAGGATTGTTAAGCAGACTATGGTATCTTTGAAATGGATGGCTTCAATTCCTTCATTCAGGAAATGGAACTTGTGGATCTTCCACTTGTGGTTAAAAAATTTACATGGATAAAAGGGGATGCTTCTATGATGAGCAGACTGGATAGAGTCCTTGTTTCTAGTTCCTGGCTTGATTACTGGGGAGATGGTTTCATTCAGGTTATGAGTAGAGATGTGTCTGATCATTGTCCTATTATTCTTAAGCACAAAGTGGTTAACTAGGGTTTGAAGCCGTTTCGATTTAACAATTGTTGGCTGACTCATAAAGAAGTTGTGGAGGTGGTGGAGGAAGCGTGGAAAAGAGATATTACCCTCCTATGGGCTACCTAGAGAGCTAGTGTGAGGTTGAGGAATGTTAAAATTGCATTGAAAAAATGGAATATTGAGGTATTTGGAAATGTTGATAAGGTGTTCTTTGATTTGACAACTGAGTTGAGCTTGATTGATGATAAAAATTTTGTGATGGAACTTTCTGATGTGGAGAAAGAGCGTCAACAGATATTGGTGGGTGATATTTGGAAGGTTAGGAAGAATAGAGAGAGTATTATAGCCCAAAAAGCTCGGGTGAGATGGGGGTAGGGGGTGATTTAAATACAAAGTTCTTTTATTTGTGTGTTAATGGAAAGTGGCGACGAAATAATATACATGCGCTTCAAATTAGGGAGAGATGTGTCGAAGAGGTTGATGAGATTAAAGCAGGTGTGGTGTCCTATTTTGTGGCTCATTTTAGTAGTAAAGGTTGGCTTCGACCTACTATTGATGTTAATGACCGAGAATCTCTAATCTACAGAATGAGGGGCTTGTTAATGCTTTTTCGAAGGAGGAAGTGGGAAGGATGATTTTGGAGCGTGAGGGGGATAAAAGTCCAGGGCTTGATGGTTTTAATTTTGTGTTCTTTAAGAGGTTTTGGGGAGTGATCAAGGAAGAAGTGATGGGTATGCTTACTGAATTTTGTAGAAATGGGAAACTACCTAGATCTTTGTTATCTTACTTTGTAGTACTTGTGCCAAAAGTGTCTTGCCCACAACAGATATCTAATTTTCGGCCTATCTCATTATTAAGTTGTCTTTATAAGATTATTTCCAAGTTTTTGGCAAATAGGTTGAAAGGGGTTTTGGATTTAATAATTTCAGAAGAGCAATCAGCCTTTATCGCAGGAAGGAACATGTTAGATAGTGTGCTTGTTGCTAATGAAGCAATTGATTATGTGTGGAGGTATAACAAGAGGTATTTTGTGTTAAAGCTTGATTATGAGAAGGCTTATGATTCGGTAGAGTGAGGATATCTTATGTTTATGTTTCGTAACTTTGGATTTTCAGAAAAATGGGTCAGTTAGATGGAAGCTTGTGTGTGTGGGAGGTAGCCTATCAACTTTGATTAGTGGGTGTCCTACATTAGAAGTTCATATTGAGTGGGGCCTAAAATAGAGGGATCCTCTTGCCCCTTTTCTTTTTCTTATGGTAGCGGAAGAATTAGGAGTTCTTATGCGGAAGGCAGTGACTTGTGGGTTGTTCTCTGGTGTGAAGATTGGGGTAGAGGGACTAGATATTTCTTTGCTGCAGTTTGCAGATGACACATTGATTATGGGAGAGGCTTCAGTTCAGAATTTGTAGACTTTGAAAGTAGTATTGCGTAGCTTTGAATTAATGTTAGGTATGAAAATTAACTTTCATAAATCTTGTGTATTGGGAATTAACATTGGTGATAACTTTGAAAACTTGGCTGTGGAGTTCCTACATTATAAGAATGGTAGTTTACCATTAAAGTATCTCGGGTTACAGTTAGGTGTTAACCCGAGAAAGCCTAGTGCATGGAAAGATGTGTTAGAGGCTTTTAAAAAGAGGTTAGCATCATGGAAGCATAGATATTTATCGATTGGAGACAAGGTGACTTTATTAATGTCGTTCTTAATTCTATGCCATTGCACTCGTTATCCTTTTTTAAGGTGCCGAAGTCGGTGATAAAGGAGATTATCACTATCCAATGAAATTTTTTATGGAAAGATGTTAAGGATGGATCTAAAATTTCCTGGGTGAAATGAGAAACGGTATGTAGACCACAGAAGAATAGTGGCTTGGGCATTAGGAATGTGCAGTGGTTTAACTGGGCGCGTCTTGGTAAATGGATGTGGCAAGGTGTTAATTGTTCTAGTTCATTGTGGGTGTGGGTGTTAGAATCTAGGTATGGTAGATTAGCTTCTTCTATTCAACGTTCATCAGTCCACAACAGATGTTCTTTGTGGTGGCGTGATTTGCTAGAGGTTATTCATTAAGGAAATTCATGGCTGGATGATAAGTTTGATAGGAGTGTGGGTGTAGGTTTACACACTCTTTTTTTGGAGAGATAAGTGAGTAGGTGGAGTGCGATTGTGTGAAGCATTTCCGCGATTGTTTGAGGTGGCAAGGAATGCTAAATCATGTGTTTTGGAGAATGATTTTCATGATGGTAATAGATGGGTTTGAGATGTTAGTTGGCGAAGAGGACTCTTTCAACATGAGATCTCAAGCTTTAATCTTTTGTTGGAACTTGTGGATGGAGTTTCTATTAAGTTACTACAAGATGATAAATGAGTATGGAGGGCAGATTCTTCAGGTTGATATTCAGTGCAATCTGCGTATTCATGGCTATTTGAACTTTTTGGTGGTCCTAATAGTGTAGATCAGTGTACGGCAGATGCCTTGCAAAGGCTATGGAGAGGAAAGGTTCCTCTTAAGTGTCTGGTATTTTCTTGGCAATTATTGTTGAATGCACTTTCTTGTAAAGGTTTGTTGATTGATCGTGGTGTTCAAATTGATGACATAACTTGCTATTTCTTCATGGTTTTGAGGAACTTCCAACTCATTTATTTTTAATGTGCTCAATTTCATCTTAAATATGGTACTTGACTGCGCGTTGGCTTAGATTCTCATTGGTTTTGCCTTTAGATTTATCGACTCATTTGCTTTCTTGAGTTGGTGTTGGCTGTAGTAAAAGAGAAGGGATATGCTTATTAATTGTTTGGGTAAGTACAATGTGGTCTTTGTGATTACATAGAAATAGAATTGTGTTTTCTAATGGTATTTTGAATAAGGGAAGTCCTAAATTCTATTATTTTGAGGTCCTAGAAATGACTATCACTTGTTAGTAAGGGAGAAGATATTTTGTTAGCTGATTGGTATTTGCACCTACGAAATTGCATCTGTCTTAATTTTGTATAAGTATATTTTTACTTTCTATTTTTGAGTAAGTAATTTTTTCTGTGTATATGAGTTTTGAATTCTCCTTAAACTCTCTCTAATAATATTTATTTTACCTATAATATATATATATATATATATATATATATATATATATATATTTAAAAATTACATAGTTTTACGTTTTCGAAAAATGTATTTACTTTTTACAGCTTCTTTGATAAATTATAAAAGCAAATAGTTATTGTTTAAAAATTAAATTAAACATGCGTTAGTTATGCGTGAAGTTTTGTTCATCAAAATATTAGTATAAATCATTTATTAAAAATAAAAAAAAAACACAAAAAAGGTGTTAAAAAAGAGAAGTTAATGTTTATTTATTTAAACTCATAATTAAGTTAATGTTTATTTATTTATCCAATTAAAAGGAAGCTTTTGGTTTCTCTAATTACTTTGGTTAATATTAAAATTTCTTTAATTAAAATCAAGCATACATTAAAACAATATTTCATTAACTAAATTACTCTTTAAATATTTTAAAATAAAATTTTCTCAAACTATTTTTCGTACTTTCATTTTTATAGTGTCAGTAAAATAACTGTTTTTAGCTAATTTTGTTTTGGCTAGTATTTAGCTAATTTTTTAAATTCTATACTTTTAACCTTTCACATGTAATTGTCACGTTTCTTACATACAATTATATTTAACTTCTTTGAAGTATACTTTAAAAATAAAGTACACTTAAAACCATTAATTAAAGTACCAACGGGGGAGATCATAACTAATTTTAGAATTTGTTATGCACTTAATTTTATCACATTCCTCAATCTTTGTTTTTTTTTTAATCAACGATTATAAGTACTCTTCATCCTTGTTCTGTCTTGGAAATTAACTCCACACATGGAATTCTACCGTTGCAATTATGCAACCATGAAACCTACTAAAATTGATTTCACAATTTTACCATGTGAAGCCACTATAACAATGGTTACCATAAACTTTAATTACGTACATAAACTGCTATTTGCTAGCTAAAAGTTGCACAGGGTCATATTTTTTAGCCCACTTTCTTATACTGTTCTTTAAGCATGCGAATAGTAAAAAACCCTCCTTGCTACATTCATTGATTCCTTGTATATAATCAATGCCATAGATATCTTTTAATGCCTAATCAAGATTAGGCAATTGGAACTTTAAACCTTAACTAAAATTACGCTAAAATCTTTATGAGAACAATCACATGAAATAAGTGTATTTAAAAACCACAACTTACAGTAACAACAAACATGTGAAATTGTTCCATGCACTTTGATACCTCCTCCAATGCTTCAATGCCTTTTCCTTTGTACATTTTATATATTATAGATCAGCACTTTGCACAGTCAGGGTCTCACCATGCACTTTAATATCTCTCTAACTTTTGAAAATGTCACTCATCATGTGAATCTCATTAAACATTATTAATTAAAGAATGATCATCTCTACTTTGAAGAGATATGGAGGAATCAACCCATGGCCCATCTGCTGATTTGTGTCTTTGCTCCATGCTTTCTTGTGAGTATGCAGAAGAAACAAAAGTTTGGCTGTCTTGTGATAGGAACTCAAAGGCTTTAAATCTTGCATCATGGCTGCTTTCACCGAGCCTGATTATCGGTGCTTGGATTGGGGTTTTTCCTTCAAGCATGCTAACTACAGATGACATGGGTGGTCTAAGAGTGGGGGATGGATTGGTGCATAGGAGTGCCAAGCTCAGCATTCTCATGGCCTCTTCTGGGGAGAACTTTGAACCAAGACTTGGATCCACCAACTCCAGAAGGTTTCCCTGCTCTTGGAGAACATAGGCCTATGTAGCAATAAGAAATTTAACCAAAGCATAAATACAACAGAGACAAAAAAGCAAGAACAACTGTGAAAAGAAAACATAAAAAAAACAGCAGAGTAATTTATCCGAATTTATCCGTTTATTTAATAAATAACATTTTTCTCAACACTCATCTTGAAATTCTATTTATTGTGAAAATGAGCATTTGTAGCCAGAGATATATTTGCCATATGCGTGAAACAGTAAAGGGATCAAGACTAAGATGAACAAGACAAAAAAGTTATGAACATAATATTCAACTGGAAGTGACAAGGTAATTTGGGTATTATGAACCCAGATGGTCCCACACATTGCCTCAAGTTATCAAAAACTCACAAAACCACAAAAAAGTTAAACATACCCAATCCAGAAGATATACAAACTCCTCCTTTGGCCTGTAATTTGTGTTGCTTTTTCCACTAACTATCTCTAGAGCTACAACTCCAAAGCTATATACATCTGCTTTATCAGTCAAGTAACCTCGCATAGCGTATTCGGGAGCCATATAACCACTGTTATGACATGTAGTACACAAGAGGTCAGTGTAAACATAAGTACTCAGCATTCTGTAAGTGGTTGTGACTTCATGCAGTAGACAGATAATGGATAACAATTCAAACCTATTGTGTATGGTAACTATGTCTCGGTTGTTTATGCAATGAATAAAATATCAACAAAGTATGAACTGAGTATTGAGTTCAAGCTAATAGATGTGGTACAGTGCTAACATTGTTCCAGCTACCCGGGTGCTGATATGGGTATTTTCTTCTTCATCAAGCTTAGCTAAACCAAAGTCAGAGATCTTGGCATTCAGATCCTTGTCAAGTAAGACATTGGTTGCCTTAATGTCCCTATGTACTATTTTCAACCTTGATTCCTCATGAAGATAAGCCAATCCCCTTGCTATCCCCACACAGATCTTCATTCTTGTGGGCCAGTCCAAGTGCAGCTTTTGTTCTTCTTTACCTACCAGAAACGTGGGGGAAGGAAATAAGTTTTCCCAGTTACATCTTTACAAACACAGTATTCATCGTCAAGTAAGTTTTACTTTTCTGATTTATTTGGTTCTTATCTGCTCCATATAGTACAGGCACATTTATGACAATTAAATCTAATTCCTAATTTATAAAACCTGAATTAGGAATGCTAAATATATACAGCTAATAGGCTGATTATATTCGTAATTGATATAACATATAATTGGAAACACAATAATGATAAATGTAATGATAAATTCCCTGATTAACATTCCCCCTCAAATCAATGCCGCTGGTCAATAAGTATCAATTTGCTAATGAGGAATTGATGACATAGACGAGGAGCAGCCTTGGTAAAAACATCTGCAAGCTGAAGTTGGGAAGTGATATGAGGAAGAATAATTTCATGATTGAAATTCTCAAAGGCCTCACAAATAGAATGACAATCCTCCTCAATATGCTTAGTGCATCATGAACAACAGGATTGGAAGCAATTTGAATTGCACTAGTATTGTTAGCAGAGGCATGGCAGCTGTTTGCAGGATCCAAGCTCAGCCAAAAGACCACAAAGCCAAACAATTTCAGATCATGCAATAGACATAGCACAATATTCAAATTCAGTGGAGGACTTAGAGACTCAAGATTGCTTTTTCTTTTCCAAGAGATCAAAGCAGGACCTAGCAAACAATTCTGCTTATAAATCATTGAGCTGTATCTCAAATAAAAACAAAAAGCAAAATAGTTATTCCCTTTTCCTTTATGGTATACAAAATTATTCTCTTTCCTTTCTGGTAGAAGGCATTCTTCACATCCATTTGATGAATGGACCAACTTTTGGAGGCAGCAATAGATAGTACAGTTTTGATGGTAGTCAGTTTTGCCATAGGTGCAAAAGTCTCATCATAATCCACTCCATATTCTTGTTTGTTACCCAAAGCAACCAATTGGGCAGTGTAACAATTAAGAGAACCATTAGAATTAAGTTTTAAAGAGTATATCCATTTACAATCAATGGATATAACAGCAAATGGGCAAGGACCAATATCTCAAATATAATTATCCTGAAGTGCTTGTAACTCTTCTTGCATTGCTTTGACCCAACACTTGTGTTTAACAGCCTATGAATAAACACGTAGGAATAGGGATGCTAGACAAAGTAGCAGTGAGAGAAGTAGGTGATAACCATACCTATCCAGTGGACAAGAAACACAAGTGGATCTGCGAAATGTGATAGGTGTGCGCTTAGGTGACGGAAGCTCAGGAAGGGGCAAGGCAAGCTAGCTCTGAGCATATACATGTCTAGGTTTAAAATGTTCTACAACATGAGTGCCTCAGGAAAAGTAGGGAGCAAAGCAAAGTCATTAATTTTAGGACAAGTAAGAGGAAAGAAATATTAATGGTCAAAGAAAACAACATTTTGAGATGTGCTAAATCGTTGAGCAGTAGCATCATAACACAAGAAACCCTTTTGAGTGGTATCATAACATAACCCATAAAAACACATTGAAAAAATTGGGCCCCAATTTTGTGACATTCAGAAAGTGGTAAATGCACAAAACATATACAACCGAAAGGATAAAGATCATCATTATTAGGATGTGTTATAAAGACAAAGGAAAGGAGAATACAGACCAAGAACCTGAGAAGGAATATGGTTGATCAAATAAACTGCAGTGCACAATGCTTTGACCCAAAAAAAAGAAGGAACCAAGACATCAAGGAGTAATGCTCTTGTAACATCAAGCAAGTGCTGATTCTTTTGCTTAGCAACGCCAATTTGTTGAAGCGTATATGGACATGGACGTTGGGAAATAATACCTATTAAGATGTCCTACATTGACTAAAAATAGAGTGAGAATACTCCTTATAAGGGTTAAAGTAGTTCTCCTCCTATGAACTATCCATGGATTAGAAGTTAGAACCTTATAAGGGTGAGCTTTTGGCAATGAGTTAGGTCAAAATTTCTTGACAAAGTATTAGAACCTATCTAGTTTGAATGTTGGGCTATCCATGGATATTCAGTCCTGTTTGGCCACTCACAAATGTCCAATCTTGCAAACTTTACATACCAAATGTCCAGTCTAGGCGTAAGGAAGCGTATTAAGATGTCTCACATTGGTTGGAAATAGAGTCAAAATACTCCTTATAAGGATTAGGGTTGAGAGTGATCTAAAGTGGAAATAATCTGCCCACTTTAGACCTCTGCAATTACTTTCCCCAACACCTAATCCTACACAATACAACCAGCTCGAAAAAATTAACATTACAGTTGTTATCTATCAATTGTGCAACTTAAATTAATTTGGAAACGAGACCAGGGGACACAAACACATCTCGAAAGGAAGAATTAATATCACTAGATTAGAAAAAGGTATTACCATCAGTACTCTGAATGTTTTGGTTGCCATTATTAGGGCAAACATTATGAAATGTTCAAAGGAACCCGTTATATATGATTAGAGGCCCTAGAAACAACAAACCATGGTTGAGATATATCACGTGACTTACCCTAGATGCCTAAGGTCTACAATGCTGATAATACCAGCTGCTGCACCTTTTTTGGAGTCAAAGCATTAGCATTTTCAGGCCCCGATGTGGATGTGTGACCCACTGCACTAATAGCATGAAAAGCTTAGACTTGTTGCTGTGCCAATCTTGTGGGACAACTGTAATTATATGACCACGTTGCTCACAATAGTTACAAAATTTTTTAGTGCAAGGGCAAGCAATATGGCCAAATTGCTTGCTCGAATAGCATTGAACATGTTTCATATCTCACCCTTTTCCTTTGCTTTGAGCAGAATAGGCAACAGGAATAGTGTCTGAAATACATGAGTCCTAAGACATGGTTCCTTGAGTGAGAAGACATTGCTCCTCCTGAAGCAACTCTCCAGCACACACATCCAAAGAAGGAAGTGGATTCCTATTTAAGAGAGCAGCAGAAACTACTTCAGATTCTGGTCAAAGCTTCATGAGAAATTGAGCCTGCTTAGTGACTTCATACACTTCTTGAATGGCAGCCAAGGAAGCTTTCGGAACATCAGAGCACGTACTATGGCTGAGTGCTCAGCCCACAGGTTCAAGAAACCAGAATAATATTATTGGTTAGCATGAATGCAGTTGGCTATTTCAAGTTTGAACTAAAACCATCTAGTAGAATTGTTCTGCGCAGTAGAAAACGAATGCAGGTTACTAACCACGTGGGACTCAATGGATCCCAAGATCCAAGAAATAATCTGGGCATTCTTTGTTTCCCTTGCATCCAACTCAGCCTTGGCTATGGGTGCAGAGGAAGACCCATCTATATGTCTCCACTTGCCTTTCCCTTTTCACTAGCATTTTGAGTTGAAACTCCCAAGCAGCATAGTTCTTTCCATTGAAGCGAACATAAGGGTCCTCTGCTGCCATGAAAGCTGTTTGTGACAGAAAACAGAGGAGAAAGGGAAACCCACAAAATAACACCAAGAAACACTAACACCAGATACTCAAAAAGAAAAATACAAACAAGAACATAGGAAGATCGCTATCCTGCACACACAAGAGTGGGAATAGAACACGAACAAGAACAGGGCAAGGGCCAAGAAAACAAGAGCGTTGAGAGATCAGTCACTGAACATGACTATGACTAGGAGACTCGTGATACCATATCAAGTAAGTTTCAATTTTCTGATTACTTTGGTTCTGATATGCTCCATATATAGTACAGGCACATTTATGACAATTAATGACAAATAAAATCTAATTCCTAATTTAAACAAACCAAATTAGGAATTCTAAATATAGACAGTGAATAGAATCAGGGCTGATTCTATTCCTAATTGATCATATAATAGGAAACAGAATGATAATAAATGTTATAATAGATTCCCTGATTAACAATCATTTCTCAGGAAACATTTACCAAAAAGTGCACGAGCGAGACTGTTGTTCTCCATGTATTCATATATTAGCAGCAACTGGTTTCCTTCAATGCAACAGCCATAAAGCTTCACCAGATTTGGATGCTGCAAAGCAGATATCATTCCAATTTCATTGACAAATTCACGATTCCCTTGCTTTGATTTGGAGGAGAGCTGCTTAACAGCAATTACATCACCATCTGACAGCACACCCTATGATAAAGCTATGGCTTCAGCATCATTTTTTATGAACAACAGTATAGTGGGATAAGTGGCATGCTCCAATGTTTTGAAATCATATACTAAAGTCAGATGATTATATTAGTTACCTTATATACAGGCCCAAATCCCCCTTCACCTATCTTATTTGCAGAGTCAAAGTTATTCGTGGCTGCTTTAATTTGTCTTAAGCTGAAATAACCTGTTTTAAGATCTAGAAGGTCTGCAACAAGGAAGATCTATAAATCACTATTCAAATTTTAAAAACTAACTAGTAAACATGAGGGGGAAAAAGACAAAAGAGAGGCTCAGAAGGAGAACATTAAAGAATCTAACAAATTTCCAGGCAAAAGAAAAGGCTATTTGTCATAATAATGAACCCAAATCTGCATTTTGGATCTTTACAGTAAACATGATGCCTTAAAAAATAATATATATGGATATATTAAAACTGTCTTTATTACCATATTATTGATTATAAATGTATATAGCAACTAAGTACTTGTTTTGGACCTGAACTTTACCTTTATCTGTTGTATTTTTCCCACCAAGGAAACCCATCTTCCAAAGGGCAACCAATACCAATATAACAAGAACACATGATGCAGCCACAATTCCAACAATAGCTCCAGCAGACAGGCCTTTTGAAGGATTTTCAAAGTCTACAAAACAAAGCAGAAATGATTTTAGGGTGCATTTGGAAAAGCTTATAGTTCCCATAAGCTCTTTTCAGCTTATTGCAATAAGTTTAATGATCAAATTTATAACAAAAGCTTTCATGTAAAAAGATTTTATTGAATAAGTGCTTGATCAAACTGTGTTCCCAAATGCAACTATAGAAGAAGACATAACATGGTAGTTGAAATAACAAGTGACAATAATAAAATAACTTACTTGGTATCATCTCGATTGCAGATACAAGAGGTCCATATACACTTCTGTCAGGAATGGCAGTAGTTCCTTTCCCTGCCCAGTATAAGTGGATTTGCAAGGTTCCATCATCAACTTCAACATCAAATTCCTCAGTGATGCCCTTTCCAACTGCTCCAGCTTTTTCCACAATGTTAAAATCTTTCAAATATCTATAACCCTATGAAGATGCAGCATTGAAAATTCCTAAATTCAGAACTTCTGTTCTCTTCAAATACTAGATACAAAATATGATAAAGAAATGTCAGAGGCAACAAAAACAATATAGCAAAGTATTTTTCTTTGGCACTCACTTGAACTGAAACATCAAATATGCGCCTTCCTACACTGCTAAAATTCTGGTCATCAGAAAACATTATCTCAGCAAAATGGAGCTTCACTTTATAATTACCATTTGGCATACAAAGGCCATAGTAGTTTAGTGACAGAGGGGAAAGGCGTGCAGTTTGGTAGTATTCTGGACCACTAATGTTCAAAGAAAATGTATTTTCTGCTATATAATCTGCATTAGCATTTCCCACATATACTCCCGTGCTGCTATAAGCCCATTGTTTTTCATTTCTAAGAAGAAAGTTTGAAATGCCATCTTGCTGGAGGTCACCAAAATAGTTGTTGCCTTCAAACACTCCCTCATTTCCTCCGCAGTTTATGAACAATGACTTGTCTGCAAAAACAGAGAAAATCGCTTCACTAAGTTACCCCAAAAAGAAACTAAGTACAAACACATTCTCAAAATTATTCCAGCATAAGAAAACGTTTGAGCTACTGCATCTCAACACTCACACTGGGGTTTTCCAGCACAAGGTAGGTTCCTCTTCAAACAAAAAGTTCTACAAGATGAGTACAGTTAGTTTAAACAGATATGACTCAGTGGTGATAAACCAAGTGGAAAATAAGCACAGAACTTACGAAGGCGAAGTGACTGCTGAAGAAGAGTGGCTTGAAGCCAAGTTCCTGTTTAGTAATAGTAAGTGGTTATTGACACGGCTGAAAGAAATGCTTAAACATTGCTAGACAAAGAGAACCTTACAGATTCAAGATCTGGCAGTTAGGTGCAGAAGATTTTGTAAAATTGTTGTAAGATAAATCTCTGAAAGAGAACACAAGATTAGATATAATTTTAATTTTTTCACGATTATTGACTCCTTGAGATTAATCACACCAGAAAGTTCAAAAGGACTGATATAAATAATGTATGGTGTAATTCTGTAAAGGCTCTAAATTATGCACTTAGAGAAAGCACAATGAAGGAAATATATGCTAACATATTAATTTTGAAGTTCAGTATCCAGTCTTGAATTGGTCCGCTCAGAGAATTATTAGTCAGAAACCTGCATCCATGATTAATGTGTCTCATTTAGGATCATAGAAAGTAAAATCAATAAAAAAAAAGTAATCAATTATCCAGTATCAAATTACTTGAAGAGTACACATGAACTTTTTGGCTAATATTCTGGTCAGCAAATGGAATGTTCACGTACATATAATTTAGGCTTTTCAATCCCTGAATTGAATTTGGGATTGGACCAGTCAACATATTGAAGCTTAGGTCTCTGCAAGAAAAACAACATGATTATTATGGGTAAGTAATGAGTTTCATGAGTCCTGGACGCATACCAGATTCATCAGATCCTAAGAACAGAATTCCGTTCAAGTTTCTATTTTAAAACCATACTCATTTTGAGTGCCAAAGATAAAAAATTTACACACTTTAACTATATTACACTTTATGGATATTAATTTTCAGAAATTACTCCTACTAAAAGAAATTTTACCAACTTATTTTATATATGATCACTATAGCTGTTACAAACAACTGTGCTACAAATCACAAAAAATTAATTATAAGACAAACTTTTCCCCCCGTTGGTGATAATTTTTGTTCAATATTGTCAGAGAAAATATTGAAAATTATTATTACAAAACACCCAAAGATGAGGGTGTAGAAATGAGTGACATGGACTGCCAATAGAATTAGTACATAAAAATTTTCATGGGAATACAATGGTTTACCAATATTTATATGTAAGTAATAAATAAAACTATTCTAATGAAAGACAACTCTTTGAAGTGAATGAGGACAGAAAAGAAAACAAGGAATAAAAGGGAATGGTCTATCATCCATGACAAATAGTATGTTCATAATGCAGTGTCTTCTGAAAGGTTTATAGCATGATTATTTAGCTGTATGGTTAGAAACCACCCTAAATTACTTTATTACTAAGCTAATGAAAGCATCTCGCTTCTTATTGAGAGACAATAAAAGAAAAAAGTAAGCATTTTGCAGGTTTACATTCCTCTTTTTAATTTCTACAGTGTAATAAATTGAAAAGGAATGAATATGAGGAGGAATGATGTGGAGGGACAAAAACAACAGGCATAGATGAAAATGTAATAATAGAAAGTTAGGAGGATTAAAATAGGATTAATTCTGTTATTAGTTGTTGATATTGTTTAAAGAGCAAACAATCCTGGTTTTAGCGTGAAAAATGGTTATTATCATTGAAAACCAGGATTATTGATAAGACCTTTGTACATAATTGAATCTATCAATGAGAATTCCCTTATTCGTTTCCTCTACAATTCCTAAGAGATTGTGAGTGAGTGTGTGCATTCAAGGTTGGAATCCATCCAAACTTGACATTGGTATCAATTAGCTCGTGACGTTTGGGGACAATGGTGACCACAAAGGAACTTGAAACCCACATGGAGTCTTTTGAGATGACGTTTGCAGACGCACAAGAATCAACAAGGAAGACATTGGATTCATTGTAGCAAGCGATAGGGAGTCTTGTTTCCTCCATAGCATCATTGAACGGCGGCAAGAAAATCGTGACAAACGATGAAGACATTAGGCAAATACCAAATTCCGGTCAATCTGCAATAGGACGGGTGCAAATTCAATTTCCTACATTCATGATTGGAGGGCAAAGGCTGAACAGTTTTTCGAATTAGAGGATACACCAGAGGTTCAACATGGACGATTACTGCTCCTATCCATGGATGGCAAAGCCCTCTCATGGCAATGACAATATATGTAGCAACCTAGCTTCAAGGATAAATCTCAGGAACAAATTCTACACAATGTGGCATATCAGTTCGATGGCAGTGCATTTGATGATCCTGTTGCCGAGTTATCCAGATTGAAACAAGGAGATTTGGTTAAATATTTGGAAGCTTTTGATTCTCTCTTGGCATGTGTAACTATCTCAGAATCCATGGGATTAAGTTTCTTTTTGTCTGGATTGAAAATTCAGTTGAAAAAATCAGTACTGGTTCACAAACCATAGTCTTTACCAGAAGCTGTGCATATTGCAAGACTCCAAGAAGAAATCCTCAAAGAAACGGAAAAGAAGATGCAGCAAAAAAGGATTGGAAGTCTTGAAACATAATCACGGTACACGAGGTCTTGGTCAACACCTGCTAGTTCACAGAGGGGCCATTCCATCACAAGTTTGCAATAGCATCATCTTCCAGCTTCCAGTTCTTCTCCAGCAACTGCAGATTCTAAGGTACCCACTTCAACTTCTATCTCTCGGAAGGAAGTTAATGAAAGAATTGCTAAGGGATTGTGTAGATTCTGTGGTGATAAATGGGAGAAAAACCATAGGATGAAATGTAAAGTATAGGGTAAATTGAATGCAATTTTCATTGCTCAAGAAGAAATGGATGATGATATAATGCAAGTACCTAATTGTGAGGAGGAACAAGCATTAGTGGATAGTAGCCTAGCCATGATTCAAGATGAAGATGTGCATATTTCTCTCAATGCTCTACAAGGCATAGCAGGTGGTAATACATTGCAGCTTAAAGGCTTAATCAAGAAGCAGCAAGTGCCTTTTCTGATGGATACAGAAAGTACTCATAATTTCATTAGTAACAAGTGGGTAAAGTTGCTTGGCTGAAAACACAGTTTGTCAAGGATTTTCCACTAATTGTTGCTTCAGATAAAAAGTTACTGATCACTAAGAAGTGTGAGCACATTTGGGGTCATCCTGGGCATGCAATGGTTCAGGAAACTTGGGAGAAATTTATTGGAATTGTGCTACTTTTACTATGCGATTTAATCATCAAGGCCAAGTGGTGACATTACAAGGAGAGCAACCTTATTCAGAGTTTCAAGAATTGACAGAGAAACTGAAACTGGTACAGGGTACATGTTACTTACATTCCACAGTTCAGTTTTTCTCAGTGTTGTTGATGCAAGGGACCAGGAGGCATTAACAACAGAACAACAACAAGAGCTCAGCAATTTTGCAGCAATTTCAACAGTTATTTGTAGAAACCTACGCAGTTGCCACCTAAAAGGAAATGTGATCACAGGATCAATTTGATAAATGAGACACTAGTTTGCTCAAAACCCTATAGATACTCACATGTTCAAAAAGAGGAAATTGAACGACAAGTGCAGGGATTATTGGCAACTGGATTTATCAGGGAAAGTGCTAGTTCTTATGCTTCTCCCTTGATGCTGGTAAAAAAGAAAGATAGCTCTTGGAATGTTGCACAGATTTCAGAAAACTCAATGCACTCACCATAAAAAATAAGTTCCCTATGCCACTAATAGAGGATTTACTAGATGAATTGCATGGGGCATGTTACTTTTTCAAACTAGATCTCAGAAATGGGTATAACCTTTAGAACACACAGTGGGCATTATGAGTAGGTTGTCTTGCCCTTTGTCCTGTGTAATACTCTTGACACATTTCAATCACTCATGAATAATATCTTCAGATGCTATTTAAGAAAGTTTATCTTAGTCTTCTTTGATGACATCTTCGTCTATACAAAGACTTATTTATATAAATCGCTGGTGCGCTTGTTTGCGTCCAATCCGGATGTGAAGTCCTTACTTGCAGCCCTAGGTAAGGCGCGGGTTTAGTCTTCCAAGTAAAGGTTACGAAGTAAATGGACTGATTTTGATGGACTTACTTTCTCGCCTTTCCCCAGAGCATAGAGCGACTTCTTCGCAATGTCAATATCCTTCCTCAGCTGCTCCAAGAACAAGATATCTCGTAAAATAGAATAAGTAGAGCTAGACTGCATGAGTGGCTTGTAGGAGAAAGAGTGGAAGGATTCTAGCCTTTGGAATGCTTGACAACTATTGGATGTCACACTGCAGATTTTGGAGGAGAATGGCTTGGCTGTCAACTACAAGAAGTGTAGTTTTGGAAAGAAGAAAATATAGTATTTAGGCCATGTGATTTCCATCCAAGAGCTACAATCAGACAACGATAAGATTTCAGCAATTCAACAATAGCCAACACCAACAACAGTGAAAGAACTAAGAGGGTTTTTAGGGCTCTCAGGATATTACCGAAGGTTCATTTTGAATTATGGAACGAGTTGAAGTGGAATGAAGACACTGCAGCTGTATTTCAGAAGCTTAAGGAGGCACTCATGGCTGCACTAGTACTAAGGTTACCAGACTTCAAACAATCCTTCACCATTGAGACAGATGCATCTGGAGGAGGAATTAGGGCTGTTATACTAGGCACCCTATTGCTTACATCAGCAAGGCTATGGGACCTAAGTACAAATTGCTTTCTGCCTATGAGAAGGAGCTCTATGCAGTTTTGTTTGCAGTCAAAAAATGGCAGCACTACTTATGGAGACAGCATTTCATCATTAAGACTGATCAAAAAGCTCTTCAGCACCTATTACTGCAGCCTCCAACTACTCTGATGCAAAATTGGGGACTAGAGAAGCTTATGGGTTTAGATTTTAGCATAGAATACAAGAAGGGCAAGAAGAATCTGGTGGTAAATGCATTGTCAAGGGTTGAACACAGTGGAAGTTCAGTTGCAATACTACATTTTTCTTCTCAAATAATGACTGAAGCCATTGAGTCTTGGAAGGCAGATCCAAAACTGCAGAAATTGGTGGATAAAATAAGGCTGGCACAACAGCCTTACAAGCACTACAATTTTGATGGTACCTTGTTGAAAAGAAAAGGTAAAGTGGTCGTAGGTGCTCAACTAGACTTAAGACACAAAATTTTAAGTCATTTTCATGGTTCACCCATTGGAGGACACTCTGAAACTGAACTCACTTACCAAAAGATTAAAAACCAGTTTTATTGGAAATGATTACAAAAGGACGTAAATAGGTGGATTAGGGAATGTGTCACTTGCCAAAGATTTAAATCAGCGAATGAGTTACCTATAGAACTTCTCCAACCTTTACCTATACCTGATAGAGCATGGAAGTCAATTGGACTTTATCACAGCTCTGCCTAAGTCTTATGGGATGAGTGTCATACTAGTGGTTATAGATAGGCTAACTAAGTATGCTTATTTCATAGCCTTAGGACATCCATTCAGTGCAGCAAAAGTAGCAGAGTTATTCATGAACACTGTTGTAAAGTTACATGGTCGGCCAGAGGAAATCATCTCAAATAGAGATACCATCTTTCTAAGCACTTTTCTGGATAGGGTTGATGCAGTCACAGGGTGTTAAGTTGATAAAATCCACAGCCTTCCATCCATAAACTGATGGACAGACGAAAAACCTTAACAAGTCTCTAGGGCCTACTTGAGATGTGCTACAGGAAGCATGCCCAAACAGTGGACAAATCACTTGGCAGTGGAAGACATGTTTACACATTTTGTCTCCCGGTCATAAATATGAAAATTCTCAGCTAAACTTTTAATCAGCAGTCCATCTTTAAAGAATAAGAAACTTGAGCTGAATACCCGTATGAAGCAACTTACAAAGTTTTTAACTTAGACATTTCACCAATGTAATCCGGAATAAGACCAGTGATTAAGCAATTTCTCAATTCCCTGGACAACAGAAATATACCATTTCAATCAAAACCCAAGTGAATCTTATAGCTATTCACAAAACAGTTGAAAACAAGATTTAAAATTCAACTTACAATCGTTCCAAGATTTTCAAATCCATCAGATCAGGAAATGCCATAGTTGTTGGTCCATTCAAATCAGTGATTCTCCTGATACAGAAATATTTCATCAATAAAAATGAAATGTTTCAGAAGCATTGCACTATATGCAGAAAAAATGCATCAATTCAGGGAAATTCTAGAAAGAGGCAAGCACTCACAATTCAGTCAAAAGTTTCAACTGTGATATAGTGGGAGGAATCGGGCCTTCCATAGATGTTCCCCGCATATCCCTATCAGAAACATAAAATTTAACATAAAATAGACAGGATGTTAATAAAGAAGCATAGAAACTTTCAAACAGTTGTTGTGTTATGTCTCATCCTGTTAAACTTAAGAAATGAACATACTGAATTCTAAGTAAATTATATAAATAATCTATTTTAGACCAGATTTTAGCACAAACCCAGGATTTTCCCTTAACAAGGAGTTTCCTCCTACAAAACACCAGAAATAACAATCTAACACCTTAATTGCCTTTTACAAGTCTGTCACACAGACTATATATATCACTGTAACTGTCACAGCATAATCGATAACTGCTTAATACGAAATTAATATAAAAATAACTGTCCAATAACTTCCTAATACATTATTGTAATTGCCTAATTTAGAACTTGGCCTCTCAATGCCTCCCCACAGAAACAGCCTTGTCCTCAAGGCTAAAAGAAAGGAATTTATCCTTTGCAAACTAGCTTTTGAATTTGGTCCCATCAAGTCAACTTCTGTGAATTCTTGTTCTTCTCCCATTTCATTATTCTTAAGATGTCCCACATCAGATAAAAGCATGTCTAGAATACTCCTTATAAGGCTTGGACAATTCTTCTAGTAGGGTCACAGATCCAATCAAACCACCTGTGTTACAGGTTTATTCTAGGAGGCATAGGAATTAAAATTAAATCTGTCATGTGACAGTTATTGGGGTAGGTAGTTATGTGTTTAGAATCTAATGTGTTGTTATTAGAGTAGGCAGTTATGTATTCAGAATGTAATGAGTAGTTATTGGAGTAAGCATTTACATATTTAGAATATAATGTGTAATTTCTGTGTGAAAGACAGTTATGATAATATTTTTCTTCTCTTGGACAGAGATTGTGCTCTGTAGGAGTTTCTAAGACTCTGGGACAGTAACATTAATTGCTGTATTTCTGTGTTTTATTACATTTCCTATCGATTAATTAACAGTGTTCTATCAATTGGTCCAACCTGCTGGATCAAGTAAGGGAAGGAATTTCTTTGAAGCCAGAGAAGTTTTCTGCTACAATGGATCGAGTTTCTGACAGAGTTGAATCATTGGAAGAAGCTAGTTGAATCAAAGGAGTTTCTTTGAAGCAAGGAGGAAGTGTTGAACAGTATATTGAAGCCTTTGAATTCCTTTCTGCACAAGTAGATAAACTACCAAAGGAGCAGTACTTAGGGTATTTTATGAGTGGGCCGCAACCAGAGATCAAGCAGAGAGTTTGTTAGGTCCCATTAACCTAAGTGGACAAGTCCAGTTCAACTCAGTCAACGGGCCTTGGATTTGGAAACATATAGTAGGAAAAATAAGAAATGGCAGAATGGGAATTAGATAGAGAAATTAGTTATGGAGAGCACATTAAAGGTGTAATGTTTCACATAGTGGGGGAAGAGCTTGAACAAGTCAGTTATGCTTTTTTTTCTTGTCTTTCTGTTAGTAGTGAGCAAGGGTGTGAACCTTTGTAGTAGCTTTGCTCTGGGTATTGCAAAATTGATTCTGCAGTATTTTCTTCTTCGTTAATAATACAGTTCATATCCCTTGATTGGTCTCTCACAGAGTTCATACTATGAGGCCAAAGTCTAGGTTGCAGGTGTCAGAAAATCTGTTTCTGATAATTTGATTAGAAGAGCAACTGCTCTTAAATGGAATACAACAAGTCTAATAAAGGAAATCCCTAAACTACTACATATACAATTAATTCCTAAAATTAAGGGATTCTTGTACAATAAACACAAAATCAGACAGCTAACGCTATCTCCTAATTATAGTATTTAATTCTGTCCATACAAGGAAATATTCTATTTAGGTCAATCTTTAGAGATTCTGACGCTCCCCCTCAAGTTGATGGAACTTGCTAACAGTAGACTGAAAAATAGCACCACCCAATACTTTTGTTAGTACATCTGCAAGTTGGTTTCTAGAGGATACAAATGGTGTACAAATTGTCTCATGTTGCACTAGATTATGTGCAATATTTATTGCTGATTTGTTATTGTTGTACAGTCTCATAGGCTTATTCCACTCAATTTTCAGATCTTCTAGAATGATCTTCTGAACTCTGCCTCTGCACTTGACCTTCCAACAACATTCTATTTCTTGCTTCTCCAAGTTACCAAATTCCCTCTGTGAAAAGTGCAATATACAGAGGTAGACCTTCTGTCATCTATAGATCCAGCATAGTCAGCATCGGTGTATGCTAAAGAGTAATCTCCTTCCCTCTTGTGAACAGAATTCCTCTTCTAAGAGTTCCTTTTAAGTACTGAAAAATGTGATAAACTGCTATAAGATAAGTTTCTTTAGGATTGTTCATCAATTGACTTACCACGCCTTTTGAATTCGCAATGACAGGTCTGGTGTCGGACAAGTAGATCAATTTCCTAACCAGTGTTTGATAAGATTGTCTATCCACTGTTGCATCTTCAACTGATTCGCTTAATTTGTGATTCTGCTCAATAGGTGTCTCTACTGGTTTGCACCCCAATTTTCCAGTTTCAATCAATAAATCCAGCTCATACTTTTGTTGGGAGATGAAAATACCATGAAGAGAATGAGTCACCTAAATGCCAAGAAAATACTTCAATCTGCATAATTCCTTAATCTCAAATTCTTTTAAGCATTTCTTCAGTGCTTCCATTCCTCCTTATCATTTCCTGTAACAACTATATCATCTACATAAACAATCAGGGCATACCTCCCCCTGAAGTTGAATGTTTAATGAACAATTTATGATCACCTTGGCTTTGCTTGTACCCCATTGTCTTCATCACAGTAGTAAACCTACCAAACCAGGCCCTTGAGGACTGTTTCAGCCCATAAAGTGCCTTCTTCAGCTTACACACTTTTCCTTCCTCACTTTAAAAGCAGGTGGGACTTCCATATAAATTTCTTCTTCAAGTTTTCCATGAAAAAGAGAATTCTTGACATCAAATTGCGGCATGCTCCATCCACAGTTAGCAGCTAGAGACAACAAAATTCTAACAGTACTTATTTTTGCAACAGGTGAAAAAGTTTCAAGATAATCTACCCCATATGTTTGAGTGTATCCCTTAGCCACTATCCTTGTCTTATATCTTTCTAATGCCCCATCTGCCTTGTATTTATCAGTGAAAACTCACTTACATCCAACAGTTTTTTTTCCTCTAGGTAATTTTACCGACTCCCAAGTTTTTTTCTTTTCTATTGCATCCATTTCAACCTTCATAGCATCACTCCAGTCTTGCTGCCATCAACAGTTTTTGGAATAGTGACAGTGCTTAAATGAGTAAGGAAGCTTCTATGATTATTGGATAATTTATCATAGTTCAGAAAGTGGGCTAGTGGATACCTTGGCCTTGGGGTACATGCTCCAATACCTTTTCTTACTGCAATTGGAAGATTACCATCTTCAGTGGTCCCATTTTCAATTGGTGTTAAGAAACTTGAGTCTAACTCATTCTCAAAAGCTAAGTCCCTCAATTTTCATCTTCAGTTTCCCTCTCCCATTCTGTTTCACTCCCCCATTTTTTCCTTTTTCTTTATTATTCTGTTTTCTTGATTCTATTTTTCTGTTTTCACTTCCAAGTTTCCTTCTCCATTTTTATTTTTTTATTCTCTATTTTTCTGCTATAACTTCAGCTTTTTTTCTCACGTGCGTGTGTATATTATGACCATTATGCTTCGGCCATAACTCGCCATGGCATCCGCCATCAGATAGATGAATGTCATAATGCTGTTGAACATGCAGTTTACTGGTCCTTTCAAGATTAGAACATCCTGCAGGGTATTCTCCTTTAACTGGTTCTTTTCGGATAGCCAAATCTTTCAACGATGGTAGAGTGGTATCCAAATTGCCAAGCCTTTCTCTCATTTCTCCAAAATCTATGTGAATATCTTGGTCTTGGATAGGTCTTCCATTTTTTGCATCTAATCCTTTTGCTGAGAATTGGATCTCTTTATCACGGAGTTAATCTCCTTCACATGCTTCTCCAATCCACTCCTTAGTCCATCATTCTCAATGGCATCTAGCAAGTCAGACCAACTACTGAACTTGAGAAATGAACACAATGAATTCTGAATAAATTATGAACTTAATCCGGTTTTAGACCATAGTTGAGTACAAACCCAAGATTTCCCTTAACATGGAATTTCCTTCTTCAAAACACTAGAAATAATCTGACACCTTAAGAAGACTATTTGGTTTGAGAAAATATTTTCTGCTTTTACTTTTAATTACAAAATTATCATCTTGTTTTTATTTGGTTTCTTGTTTTCAAATAGTTATATAGGAAACAGTGAAAATAATTCTATCATTTACTATGTCTTTTACTTTCTTATACAACTATTTGAAAATAAAAAATGAAATAAAACAAGATAACATTTATGTAATTAAACGGCCCCATGATTGACTTCTACAAGTCTATCACACAATCTATAGATCACTGTAACTGTCAAACCATAACCTATAACAGCTTAATATGAAATTAATATAAAAATAACTGTCCAATAACTCCCTTATACATTATTATAACCTCAAATTCAGGACTTGGCCTATTACATCCATTTCAAACACATATCAGACTTCATGAATCCTATAATGCGTCTGGTGTGATACATAATATAAAGTTGTTTTTCTCTCCAACAAGGAAGAAGTCAGGGATGTTTCTAAATGTATACTCACAATCTGTCAAGTTTGGTCCAGTTCCCAATAAAACTGGGTATTGATCCGGTTAAACTGTTTCCATCTATCCTACTGCAGAAAATGCAAAGAATAATTTTAGAATTCAACAAAGATATAATAAGGACTAAATGACTAAAACCTCAAATTAGTCCCTAAAACATAAGAAATCCTTTAATTTGATCCCAGAAAGAAGAAAAAACAAAAACTATTAACTGATTACATGGTTTATCATTCATTTTAGTTACCCAATTAGAATTCATTAGTTAACTATAATGATGTGGCATTTTAAACGCAATGTAATATGCTACAGTGTTTGCCAATTAGGAATATTTCAGACGAAGAGAAACACTTCATTTTCGTACACATTCTAAATGATGTGTTATATGTGGAACAGAAATGAAGTGTTTTCTTAGTCACCTTATGTTGTAATGCTCTCAATTGCACAATTAGAGATACCTTAGTGTATTGCACTTAACCTGTTACACCACTATCTCTCTAAGAGTTAGTCAATAGATTCTAACAAAGAAGACTAAAATGAATAGCAGACCACACATTTATCGACTAATTCTAATATTTTATTCTTTGAAGGACCATATTGAAGGACTTTTATCTTTTAGGAACCAAATGAGATTTTAGTCTAAAATATATAAAAATAAAAAAAAAATATCAAAAGATCATTGCATGACTTCATATCACTCACAAATCAGTGAGATTCTTTAGTTTGCCAAATGTTTCTGGTATGGTCCCAGTAAAATTATTTGCAGAAAGAAGCCTGCAGATTAGTATAAAATAATAAAAGAAATTAGTTATGCACCAAAGCAAAAAAATGTAAATAATTTATAGAAATCAATTCAGTAAAATGAATTATCATAACTGATAATGTATATCAGACTAGAAAGAAAGAACTTACAGTCTCCTCAACTTGCTCAAATTTCCAAGATTGGGCGGAAGTGATCCTTCGAGTTGATTACTTTCTAAGACCCTGACAAACATGAATACCAATATCATCATTCAAGTATTCAACCTCCAATTTCAACCATTTTTCAATACCAAAAATCAAAATTTGTTCCGGCACTTACAGTTCCTCCAGACTAGCTATGTCACCAATTTCTACGGGAATTGGGCCACTTAGTCGGTTTCCCACAAGGGACCTGAACCACAGTAAAAGTTATGCATGGATCATTTGAAATATGAAAACCACAAACGCTCCTTGGGCAAAATTAAGTGAACTTTTGTCCCTTAGAATAAGTTTCTTATTTAAGAAATTATTAATTGGATATAACACCACCTGTGAGCTTCAACTGCTTAGACTTATATTTAGTTGAAGAAAAATGGACAGGAAGAGAAGAGAGAGGAGGGATATTTTTAATGGTATGGTGTTTGATTCAAAATTGAAGAAAAATGATGATATTACATTTTAGGCTTAATTATATTTTTGGTGCTCGTAAATATAGGTCATGATTAGTCCTTACAAAAGTGGTTTTTCTAAAATAGGTTACTCAGCACTCTATTAGGTGCTACATGACCATCTTAAAGTCGTCAGAGGCCTACGTGACATACCACATTATTTATTATTTAAAATTAAAATTTGCAAATAAACTCTTAAACCTAAATTTATATAGTTGTATGAAAATCCTTTTTCTTTTACAACCCACTACCTCCCCACCACCCCTACTCTTACTCCTTTCCTCCACGGCCACTCCATTCCCTTCTCCCTCCTTACACCGCCACTCTCTTCCTTTTTTCCTCCTTGCACCATCACTCCTCCCCTTTACCTTCACACTCCCACCCACACCCACACTCCTTCTTCCTCTTCCTCTTCCCCACACTCTACCTTTCTCAACCCAACCCCAACCTCCACTGCCCCCTCCTCTAATCCCACTCCCCCCTCTCCCACCCCTTTCCATGCTTATTCTATTCTCTTCCGAACTTTCAGATGTCTTGAGCCATGGATTAGCCTTCCTAACCCTCTCTTTCTTTCGGCGAATCATGTGCAGGCTGTATGAACAGTTGCATTTTTCTTTCACGGACTTTCTGGAAATGAGCAGGGGCATGTTGGGCTGGATTAGTTTGAGGACCTCTGTAGTAACCTTAAAAAAGAGGCAATGCTGAATCTCGACCCTTTCTCAATAATCCATCTTGCCTCCCAAAGGCTCCTCCGCGTGTAACTCGGACAAAACCCCAACTTAGCATTGATAAAATAACCTATTGGGAAATACCGAGCTTTGAAAATATTTGATACCAAAGACTCAGGATTATGAACTAATCTCCGGTCCTGCTTTGCCAGGAGAGCCTGATTTAAATGAAACAAGAGAACTTCCTGAAGCCGAGACCTCCAAACTTGCTAATCAATGACTCTATCTGCTCACATATTGTTTGAGGAATGGAATCTTAAAACAACTCATTGTTTGAGGTGTCGATTGCAGACCCGTGATCAGAACCTCTTGTTCTCCGAATGCAAGCTCGGAATCAATGAATGTACTCTCTCTCACCACAATCTTCCTTCCCTTATGCGAGTATTCTCTCCTGTGTTGTCTTAGAATACGGCGAACAAATCGCTGGTGCCGGCGAGTATTCTCACACGCTGGAGGCCATCAAGTGGGGCACCAATTATTTCATCAAGGCCCACACACAACCAAATGCTCTTTGGGTTGAGGTATTTGTTTCAATTCATTTCTTACAATTTCACTGGTTTTTAACCTTTGAAAATTAGTTACCCCATGCCGCCGTTGACAGAGATTATAAAATGAACGTGGTTTGTGTTGTGTAGTTGTTTGAGTTTGGTGACAAGTTTAAGGGGAAATATGATGAGAGTGTTGGAGTGGCTAAAGGGTATTATACTTCGGTTAGTGGGTACATGGATGAGTTATTTTGGGCAGCGATTTGGCTTTATAGGGCCACCGAAAAGGAAGAATATTTGAACTATTTTTTGGACAAAGCTTATGAATTTGGTGGGACCACTTGGGCCATGACTGGATTCAGCAGGGATGTTGAGTGTCTTTAAGCCATTGCTTCGATGGTAATTATAAATCTCCCTTCCTTTACAACTTACAAGGGCATTTTATAATTCATTCATGGCAACTAACATAAAGTACTACCAAATTTCGTAGTAGGAAGATATGGGGTGGACAGTGGGAAGAGGTAAGAGGTGGAGGAAGGGGTTAGATGGAGTGGGTAGTGAAGAGGGAAAAGGGGGGTTGATGGAGTGGGTAGTGAAAAAGAAGAAATTTTTTTATGCAATTATATAAAATAAGTTTAAAGTTTATTTGTAAATTTTAATTTTAAATAAAAAATAATAAATGATGTGGCATGTCATGTAGGCTGTGACTGAACCTCAAGTTGGTTTCGTGGCGCTATGTGAAGTGTTGGCTCTCTGTCAGCCAGCTCAGCATTTAATAGAAAGAGAGTTAACGACAAAGACTAATTCCTAAATTATCTATTTTAGAAGGATCACTTTCTAACAAAAATATTTATAAGGACTAATCACAAAATGACCTATATTTATAAAGATCAAAAACATAATTAAACTTACATTTTATTTTGAAACAAACATATCCCCTAAAAACCTTCTTAGTTTATTTTTGTCTTCCCTCCAACGCTGGGGAATTTAAAGCAAAGAAAAAGTGTTTTATAAATTTTTGACAATATATACTAAATTGTTACAAAATTTTATTTTATTTCTCATTTCTTTTGTTACTATCTATAAGGGTATGAAAGAATCTAGAAGGACCATGATATAGTTATAAATTTTTTATCAAAGAAAGACCCATTATGACTAGACTCACTGATTAAATTTTGATAAAAATAAGGCTTAATTATATTTTTGATCCCTATAAATATAAGTCATTTTGTGATTAGTTACTATAAATATTTTTGTTAAGAAGTGATTTTTCTAAAGTAGGTAAGTTAGGAATTGATCCCTGCCGTTAACTTCTTCTTCTTCTCTATTAAGTGCTGAGCTGGGTAACAGAGAATCAGCTCAATACTTTAGCTCAGCACTCTACGTGGTCATTTTGAGGTCTAGTCACAGCCTACGTAGCATGTCACGTCATTTATTATTTTTTATTTTTTATTTAAAATTAAAATTTACAAATAAGCCCTTAACTTATTTTATATAATTGCATAAAAGACTTTCTAACTTTCTTTCTTTTCTGCAATCCCTCTCTTCCCCTCCCCTTCTCAACTACTTTCAAACACCCCTCCTTCCCTTTCCCTTCTCCCTTCCTCACAACCCACTTCAAGCACCCCCTTTCTTTCTTTTTTCTTTGACACCCTTGCCCTTCCAGCATTCTATCTTAACTATAGCTATTTGATGAAAATGTGAGGTCATATTATTATAGAGCTAAACACGCTACTAATCGAAGGTTTCATACAAAAATTGGCAAACAAAAATTTACAATTTTTCTCTTTTAATGTGATGGTTGAACAAAATGGATATTGTGAGTGTGTCTTTGTGAAAAAAATGGAACCCAATACTCCATAAAAACAAAGAGGATATTGACTCTGTCTCTTAAACCAAACATTTTGTGTTGATATAGGACATATATCACGGTAGTTTTGTACTCCTGGTTTGCTATGTACCCAATACTCCATAAACAGAACCCAATGCTCCTTGAACGTAGCTATGTACACACATTTCTACCCTCATCCCCGTCACCCCCTCTCCACCCTTTCTGAGCACCTCCCTTTCCTCTTTCACACAGTAATATAATCACGCAAGAAAATTACCAATAATAAAGGTCTTTGTTCCAGCTATGAGATATAGTATCTAAACATAATCAACACTTTTTTCTTTACACCACCCATTTTTCTCTCTGAAATTGCAAATTAGTGGAAATTGAAGCTTGTGCTTCAGTAATTTTAACTACAAAATCTACCACCCCAGTGCAAATTTTATGGATTATGCCATGGGTTGTGCTGCTGATTGCCCGAGCACATAATCACTAGGAAAACAGTAGTACAATACACTTCTCTCTAGTTTTATCAATTAGTAGCATAGAACTCAATACATATTTATCAATTTGAAAGCTAAAATTTTGAAGCATTGAAAAACTCAAGTTTTCTTATAGTAAAATCCCTTATTTCATTGCTTTAAGGGGCATGGTAGGGAATGATGGCGACTTTGAAGAATGATGGTGGCATCGGCGACTTTGTTGCCAACCTCGGCAAAGCGAGTTAGTTTGAGAGGTGTGGCGTGGGGTGCCATGACTCTCAAATGAAAGTTTGTGGAGAGGGTAGTGCTGGAAATTTGGGAATAGGAGAGAATATGGCAACTGTGACAACATTGCACTTCGATTTTTTTATTTGGGTTTGAATTTGTAATTCCTACATTGTGTTGTTTGGAGCATTTATGAAGTATAATCAACCAAAGAAAGGGTTTGTGGGGAAGAAGAGGCGAAGGAAGAAAGAGGAGTGAGGAAAGACGAAAGTGTTTTTATGTAATTATATAAAAAGGGCTTATTTGTGAATTTAAATTTTAAATAATAAAAAATAAATGACGTGACATGCCACATAGACTGTGATTGGACCTCAAAATGATCACACGTTACATGGAGTGCTAAGCTAGCTAACTTAACAGAGAGGAAGGAAGTTAATGGCAGAGACTAATTCTTAAATTACCTACTTTAAAAAAATCACTTCCTAACAAAAATATTTATAAGGACTAATAATAAAATAAACTATATTTATAAGGACCAAAAACATAATTAAGTCTAAAAATTATGTATTTCTCTTTCTAATATTGCTATATCGTATTACTTAATAACGCGTGAAAAACTAAATCTGATATAAAAATTTATCGTTCATATTTTTTTCTTTCTTTCCTTGTGAGCAAAAATAAGGTGATTTTTCTCCTCTTCTTTCCTTCTTTGAACCAAGTGCACTAAAACTGGTCATTAACAAATAACACAAATGCAGGCCGTATCCAAAGAGCAAGACATAAAATACAGAACAGAGGTATTGGTGACTTACAGAATAACCAGCGAGTTGCGACCAAAATTCGTTGGCAGTGAGCCATTGAGAAAGTTGCGAGAGAGATCACTGCACACGGTATAAAAGTTCTACTACTTAATAATTTAAACTTCACGTAATATATATATATATATATATATATATATATATATATATATATAAAAGGTCTTAAATGAATGTAACAACATAATTTCATGCATGATTTAATAAAAAGAAGGTTTACGAAGGACCAATATGTTTAGAAGAGGAAATGAAAGAGCGGGAATAAATAAATAAGAAAAAAAAGTAAGATTTTTGTTTTAGAACCCAAAAATAAGAAAATTTTCCCCTTTACAGGCTTGAAAGTAGAAGGTAGGGACTTGCCATTTTAAAATTTTTTTTATAACATAAAAAATTAATTCTATGTTATGGAAAAGGCCATAGAGCAAAAGATTTAAAGTTTCTGAGTCAAGTTTAATTTCAAATAAGTAAAAAAAATTATACAATTTAATTTTTTTTTACCCTCTTTTCCACTTTTCTAAAACAAATGGAGAAAGTTTCATAGGGAAGAGATTCACTTATTCTAATAAAGAATAAGTTCTGTAAAATTACTTTACTTAATAATTTTCTTAAGAATATGACTTTGATAATTCTAATTATTGAATAATGTAATATCATTGTAATAATTATGCATGTAAAATTTTATACAAATCAAATATTTATAAATATATAATTTTATAATTTTATAAATTTATATTTCATGTTAAAATAAAGTTTATTGATGAAATATCAAATAGCTTTTGAATTGTATAAATTTATACAATGAATGAATTAATCAACTTTATATTTACAAAAAGTTATTAAATAATAGACAAAAAGCTTTCTTATAAAGTAAATAGATGCTTTTCCAAATTTACTTACCTTTTTTTCATTTTCATTTATCTGAATAATACTACAAGTTATGTTAGCTAGCTGCAGGAAACAAAATTTACAATCACTTACAGTACTTTTAGTTGAGTAAGATTTCCAAATTCACTGGGTATAACTCCGGATATATTTTGACCTTTGAGAGTGCTATCATCACAAAGCCATGGTATTAGCATCCCATAAAACAAATTAAAGATATAACCTTCAAAGGAATTTAATTAATTTATGGTAGAAAATGTGAATGTCAGGAAATGTTGAGCCAGAGTTTATTTGAACTTATCTTGTCACGTTATTAAGCATATAAGAGTGACTAGTGACCTTTTCATAACTTTCTTAGACATATTTTAGTAAATTTAAGCTTATTAAAATAATCTAAACTCTTACATGATTTTTTTTTCTGAAAAATAAACCTTTTTAATCAAAATAATAATAATTCTATAATTTTTAAGTATAATTAATATTTTCTAATTTTATTCTTAAGATAACTACTATTTTAATATCTATTATTTATTTATTTATGTATTTACTACACAAACAAATTTTAAAATAAATGTAATAGAAAATTTTATAATACTTTTAATAAAAATAAAATAATAAAATATATTTTTTTAGTTTTTTTACCATAACTTTAAGTGACTATTTTTTTAAAGAGGAAGAGAGTAAAATTATATTAAATAAGCATTTAATTTAAGCTCCATAAAAATTTACTTTACCTTTGGTCATTTTTTCTGTTTCTACAGTTATTTGATTTCAAACAAAATATCCTTGGCAAAGCTCATAATTGAAAGGGTATAAAATACTTGGAAAAAGACGTACATGTTATCAACATGGCAAACAGTGTTTCTTTGGAAGGTGCAATTGCATGTGACATTCCTGACAATATCATCATCTACATAAACCTGGCCATTAAAGCTTCCATCCTCTGTGCAGGAACGCTCTGTGACTTTCCAGTTCAAGTTCTTTAGTTTATCCGATATTGCTTGTAGAACTTTCACTGCAACACGACACAAATCAATTTCTTTAGCCACATGCATTTCTTCTTGAAATTCGTTAAATATTGAACATCATCATAAATAGCAATTCTTCTATTTCTACACTCACACCCAACATGATCTCTCAAAACATGATCTCTCGAATATGTTGGATATGTTGGAATCCAAGGGTAAACAGTATCTTATATGAAATGGAATATAGATAAGTTAGAAGTCTTTAAAGAAACAAACTCGTACTTATTTTGAGGTTCTGTACCTAAAAAACTCGCCTACTTAAAGATGTATAGTGATACTTAGATGAGCGAGCTGGTAGCACTCATGTGGAGGACGTAAAGCTCAAAAAATATTATATTAACTTATACATTCATTACTTAAAAGGTTTTTAAAGTTAAATTATGATGTAAGTAGACTCCTTACCTTAAAAAATAACTCTTCTACTCAACAAAACATACATTCATTAATCATCAACAGAATCAGAAATATATTGTTTAATTTGAATCTTATGCATGCTAGTGACAAGGTTTTGTTTTTCATCATTGTCAGTGTCATAACATGACTAACACAAGTAACATAATTACTTCTATCACTGTGCCTTTTTGTTGTTTATCTTTTTGTCAAAAAAGAAAAATATTTTATTTATTCGTTCGTACAAAAATTAATATTATCTTTAAGTGATTAAATTCTAAATATTGACCGGTCATATTTCAAAAATCTCATGCCCATAACTTGCAACTCTGTGGCCGTCAAAGGCCAGACAAGTCTTGTGACTTTTCAAAATTTTAAATGTTCTTATAATTTATAATAAGTTTGGGTTCATATTATTTTTAAGAAAAATTAGTTAGATCTCTGACTCAGCTACATTGTTGAGGGCTACAAGGACCCAGTAAAAAATCTTTACATTACAGAATTCAACACACACTTTTAAGTATTTATTTATAAAATAACAAAAAAAAATATTTTTTAATTTTAAATAATAAAATTCATACATAAATAAATTATAAATTAAAGAATATAAAAAATATCATAAATCTAAATTATTAAAAAAAAAATAAACCTATTTAGTCGCTCCTAAATCACTCCTTACACAAATTTAATACCTTTGTTTTAAACAAAGTCATACATGGTGTGCAATCTAATATTAAAAATTGTGTTTTTCTTTTTGTTGCGCAAGGATGATGTATGACAGTTTCTCTATGCCATGAAAGACAGAATCAGGACCACCGTTTGATATAAAAGTTGAAGAGATCGCATGGTTTTGTCATATGTTAGGTCACCGACACTCTTTACAATGTAAGTTAAATCATAAAAGACATCTGAATCTTACAACATCCATGATTTTTAAAACATATACAGCGTAAGAGGGTCAAAGAGTAGTTAGCTACATTGTCCAAAAGTAATGCTACTAAAATGTAGCATAGCTTTGATACATGCCAAAAGTAATGGAGTCTCTGCCTAATGAATACTAAAACTTAGCTATTAGTATGAAACACAACATAATTTTTTTATCAAATTTCTTTTTCTCTTTCAACTGATAGTCACTGGTGGAATATCATGAGTTTAGATGTTGTAGTTTTCTTTTTAAAGAAGTATCTATTATTATCTTTATTCAATTTTTTTTATCCAAAATACCTTTTTTATTATTCGTTGATCAAATTAAATAATAAGACTGTTCTTTTAAAAACAATCATTTATATTATATAAAAATGATAATAAACATTTACAAATAACAATAATCTCACCCCTAAAAAAAACCCTCACAAGTCACAATTAAGAATATTCATATAAAGTATTTTGATACAGAATTTATTTCAGTACTTATTTAATAATTTTTTATAATAATTTATATCATAAAATTTAACAATAAAATTAATAGATTAAAGTAAGTAATAATAATTTATTTTAATGAAATATATCAAAAAATTATTAAAATAAATCGAAAGTAATTAATGAAAGTCAAAGGTTATTTTTCATAAATTATTTTAAGGTACTCTTATACCAGTTTCTTTGGTCAGTTTATTACAACAATGTTATAAGACGGGAAGTATTTCTTTATACAATAAATGCTCTGTTAAATATTTACTATTGTATGTATAATAAATGCTCCATATTTCATTTTAATGCAAACCGTCCCATTGATGCCTCTTGGTATTAAGCAAGTGTTCATGTCCATGCGATTTTCTTCAATTTAGATATTCCTTCTCTTTTTAGGTACTTTTTCTGATAAAATGTTTAATGAACTAAACGTAGTATAACACAGACAGTAAAAGTTGTTCAAAAAATAATTGCTTGGATAATACATTTATAGAAATGAAATATATAAAATCAAATTAAAATTATTCATTTAATTTTTAAATTTATTTTAATGAAAATTTAAAATATTTAATATGAACTATTTAATGTTTCTTGATATATATTTTTAAATATAAATTAAAAAATTAATTAAAGAATTATAAATATAAATATTTCATTACAACATAAAATTATATTTAATCTTACAATTTAAAATACATCACAGAGGTAATTTTTAATAAAAATTTATTACTTACAAATTTCTTTTAATAAAGTTAAGTGGAAAGATTTAGATATTATTAGAGCTTTTTATTAATTAAAATTTTATCTTAATAATATGTAATAAAAATAAATACAACTTATACATTAAAATAAAACTCTAATTTTAATCCATAACAACTTTTACCTTCAAACCAGACATAACTTTTGTCCTAAGGCCAAATATAAAATGATCTCAGAAAATGAAAAAGCCAATGTTGAGACGATTCATTGATGTGTGATAGAGAATCCAACATTATTAGAAGATGAATTAAAAGATCCAGTAAACAAGTTTTAGCTGAATTTAATAATGCTGGATGCATAACCTTAAAAATATCTATAATATGTTGCAGCCCTTAAAAATAGCAAGATAGCAATAACAGTATCGAAAGCTTCGTCAACTAAGATGCAAAGCATTCAATTGATGTTGGAATTTCAACTTCCCCAAACGGAAATATAGTGTATAAGGTTATTTTCAATGTTAGCTTTTATTAATTTCTAATTTCTATTTTCAATTGTTCATCTTTTGCAGAAGTGATAACGGTTAAAAGGGTAGTTACAGCCTTAAAGGCAGTTTCTTTCTTGATTGGTTATGAAAAGCAAGTTTCGACCATAACTGCACGTATGAGCAACGAAACCAAAGCGACTAACATAGCAAAATGAAGCGTGGAAGCGTACCTTCATCTTGTGGTATGAGTTGAGCATTGGACCCAAAATCTTCGAAGCATTTCAAAGCCAGAAAACCAAAGAAAAGAACATGTCCTAGTTTGGACCCTGACAGAACAAACCACATTTTCTTGTCTCAAAGCTTCGCTTTCGTTGGTAATAAAACAGAACCCTCTTCCGCGTCATAAAAAACTGAAGAAAACAACGAGAAGAGTTGGGAGTTAGTTGTAGGATTTGTCTCCATGATTGTATCGATTAGTTTAAGGGAAAGAAATGCTTTTGAAGATGGAGATATTTTACCATGTAAAAGAAGAAAAGCCAAAGCAGGAAAAAAAAGAAAATACTCACTAATATCTTTTAGATCCTGCCTAACAATTAAAAATATTTTTTTTATAAGAAAATATTCTATTATGAACACATCTTATATTTTTTATTTAAAATTTGTTTAACTAGTAATATCTTCCAAACGTTAATTAGCTTTTAAAAAATAGGAAAAGTTCGTTCTTGAGAAAAGTCATATTACGCATTGGTTTTCAATTATGGTGATAAGACAACGCACAGTCAGCACACGGCATTGATTCTCGGTCTCTTTGGTGGGCATGGCAAAGAGGCTGCGCCCTATCTTTTCCGATTTTCATTTTTCACCGCATTTAAGCGAACGCATGTATTTTAGGTTTAATTTTTGCCGGTTTGTTTAGCTTTACAAGTCCATTTACACATTTTTTAAGATAAAAAAGAGGTATAGGAATCTTATGCAGTTTTAGTGCCATAAATTGTAGTATGTGCACTTTTTTAAAGTAAAAACTGTCTCAGCTAAGTGAAAATAAGTAAAATTTATTAAAGTTACTAAAGCAAATTTTAACTGAGTAAAGATTCACCAGACATCACGTGAACTTTGCTTGAGAGAAAGAGAAGCCTTTAGATTATCTCCCTTAGGCAAGTTTTTTTTATTTAATCATTGCTCACTTAAGCGCCTTTAAATAAAAATAATTAAAATTAAGTAAATTTGAGATAAGAAGTAACGTATTTAACGCCTGTCATTTGCTTAAACGATCTTATATTTATTTAAATGAGGATGTATCCGCTTAAACAAGTATGATTTTACTTAAAGTTAAATTAGCAAATATAATAAATTGAGATTCGTTTAAGAGAAAGTGAGCATGTATCTCCGTTAGCGAGCATGATTTCGCTTAAAGCTAAATTAGTAAATGTAGTGAATTGAATTTTACTTAAGAGAATATGGCTAAAAATGCTAAAATTATGCAAAAACAGATAACATGAAAGAAGTTGGGTGAAATACATTTTATGACAGTATTTCAACTTGCATTTTACACAAAAATGACTTAATAAATACATATTTAATCAAGAAATAAAAGAAGTTTTGGTAGTTTAAGGATCATTTTTTATCAAGGATTAAATCATTAGTATCATCAAGTTGTTCCAACAAAATAAGAAGGAAACTTATAAAGACCATGGATGAAAAAAAAAAGAGAATTTGATTCATGTAAAGTTTAGTTGAACAACCTTATTGCTAACAAATTTGTGAAACTGAATTGATTGACTAATGTGTGAAAGGAATTATTACATGACAATGCCAAACAATTTACTTCAAATGAATCACAAAGCATTGGTTGATATTCCTAAAGCATATTCACATAAATATTATTATATGGTTATAATAAGCAACTTAAAATATATGTATTTATTGATATTTACAATTATTATTAAAAAAGTATCTGAGATGCTGATTTACCTAAAATTAGAGTTCTATTTTTCTTTTTCTTTGTTTGTAACTTAATCTAACTTTTTAATCGTTTATACACTCTCCTCTTTATACTTGGTCGTTGCTTGAATTCCTTATGTTGTGTACTATCATTATTGACCACAACTTCTACATCATCTTTATTCTTGTCATTACTTTATTCTTGCAAGTGCAATTTTTTAATTTGATATTGTCATCAATTAGCTGACAATATTCTTGTGAAGAAGATACTTCAAAGGCCAACCTAATCATTTCACATGCTAGGTGATAGTATCGATGTGTGGTACTAAGTTTAGGATCTCTTTTGACCTCTATTCCTTTTACATTATGAATAATCCCATAGCTACCTTATGTTGTCTATCTCTTAAGTATGTAGTTCTAAGTGACAACCTTTACATTATTTGCTTGAATCCCTTAAGTTGTGTACTATCATTATTGACCATAACCTCTACATCATCCTTATTCTTGTCATTACTTTGTTCTTGTAAGCGCAACTTTCTAATTTGGTCAATTTAAGTATTAATATTATCGTTAATTAGCTGACAATATTCTTGTGAAGAAGATATTTCAAAGGTCAACCTAATTATTTTACATGCTAGGTGACAGTATCAACGTGTGGTACTAAGTTTAGGATCTTCTTTGACCACTATTCTTTTTACATTGTGAATAATCCCACAGCTATCTTGTGTTGTCAATCTCTTAAGTATGTAGTTCTTAGGGATAACCTTTACATTATTTGCTTCAAACACTTTCAAAGTATGAGAACAAAGTATATGAAATATTTCAAACTATTTACAAGTGCAAGATAAAGTTATTGAGGAAAGATTAAATGTAATTATCCATAATCTTTGTTGATTTACTTTAGTAATAACATATTTAATCAAAGGAGGATTTTTAATCCTTCATTATATGCAACAAGCCAAGAACAAAGTAAACTCTTGTTGGAATAAGTTAAACATTGTATGTGTGTATACCTAGGCCATTTGTATTAGTGTTGGTGACAGCTCACATCGCAACATGGTTAGCTTGTGGTGGGATTCATACTCACATTTTAGCTCGCTGTACCACTTGTCTTCAACAACTTGTTCAAAGTGTTTGAAGAATTGTTTTATGTCAATACTAGATTTCATACAAGCTTTGAACCTATAATTTAAACTTTCAATTATTTAAGTACTCCATATTCCAAGAGTGAAAATATCTTTGAGGTAACATGATGCTCATTTCTCCTTTATGAAATGAAGTAAAATAATCCAAGTATTTTCTTAAACATTGTATTATGTTATCAACCTTGTCCAAGCCTCTTCAAATTCAATTGAAGTATCACAGTCATACATGCATATTTTCAAATCTCTTAAAAAATGTCTTTCTCCTTTCATCAAATTGCCAATGTATTTTATTCCACTTTACATTAAGTGCATATGCATAAAACATGATGTGTTTCAAGCATTACTTGGACTAGAGCCTTACCCATTGCTTGATTTTGATTTGTAAAAATCGTTTGAAGTATATTTTTTATCCTGCACTTCTAAGAATATCTCAAACAACCATTCAAATGATTTTGCCATTTCATATGCAAAAATGTTGTCCCAAAGATAATAACATCTCTATAATGGTTAAAACCTGAAAACAATGCTAGAGGCCTATTAGTTCGATTGATACAATATGTAGTATCTAGCGATACAACTTTGCCAAAAAATCATAATTAATCACATCTTTGCATTTTTCCCAAAATTATTTTTGATTTATTCATTAGCATCCATTTGGTATGCATAAAAATGATGAGTTTTCTACCAACCATCACTTAAAGTATTGCAGCAGATAACTGACTTCTTATATCCTTGCCCATTTTCCCTTTGCCTTCAAATGACTTTTTTGCATCAAGGCAAGTATACCAACATTAGCTTGATGTCCTGTAAGTGTGGTCATGAGTTGAAATGATGACTTTCGTTACAATCATAAGGGCTCAACCAAATCAATCTCATGACCTTGGATTTTAGTTATCTTATGCAAAACAAGTATGTGCATTGTCTCTAGAACTTATTGTTAGAGATTAGTTAAGTCTGTTAGTAGTTAGTTAATTCTATGGGCTATATAAGCCTTCTATTTCCTCTTGTAATTCAATGGTTTCATTCATTCAGATTAATACAAATTTACTTTTCTTTCATTTTAGTTCTATTATTTTTTTGGGCCATATTTTTTTGACATGGTGTCAGAGCCATAGTACCCACCATGAGCTTCTAATTCTTATAAAGGAAAAAGAAAAAACCAATTTCATTGATTAGGGTTCAATTGAACTCCAATTTCTAACCCTTCTGATTATCCATTTTCCAAATCCTAAAACTTTCCCCAACTGGGTTCTCAAATTTGCCACGGCGAGCCCTTATAGCTCGCATATCCTTCAACTGACAATGGCAAAATTCTCCACACTAATTCCTCACTGTTGAAGCCATTATCTTTGCGGCCTCCAGTCTAAACCTTCTGTTTGGTCTTTCAGTTTTGGGTTTTGAAAGCAAATTGTGTTTACGAATCTCTACAATCAAAAGCAATGGACTCCTTCTCTTCCTTCTTTGATTCAAGAAATCGATGGAATAACAATACTCTCAAGAACTTCTGTTAGATTTCTCCGCTCGTTCAAAATCACCTCAAGCAGGTTTATTTTACATTGTGTTTCGTTGTGGTTGCTACGGGTTGTTGGGGCTTACTTGTATATTCTTTTCAACATTGGGGTTTTCTTACAACATTGGTGGGCGTAGGAAGCAGTGCTTGGTTGATCTCGACTCCTTCTGTTGAGGAGAGAAAGAGGGTGTCTTTGTTGATGGCCCGTCACTTTTTCAGGGTGCCTCTATTGGACCCTTGATTGATTTGGCTGTTCAAATCGATCTAAGCATTATCATTAGTGCATTTGTGGGAACTTCCTTGGCCTTTGCATGTTTCTCAGGAGCTACTTTGGTTGCAAGGTGTAGGGAGTACTTGTACCTTGGAGGCATGGTTTCCTCTGGGTTGTCCATTCTTCTCTTGTTGCACTTTGCTTCCTCCATCTTTGGAGGTTCAATGGCTCTCTTAAAGTTTGATGTATTGCCTATAAGCTTTTCTGCATTTTGTTATTGACTCTTGTATTCTCCCTTGATACCTTCTGATGTTGTAACTTCTAGAATTTTTTTGGTTTGGGACTAGTTGCACGCATAAGGTGTTTTTTTTTTTTCCAGACATACAAATATGTTACACATGACTTCAAATCTGGGACTAAGTTTTGTAACAGTTTTGCTCATACTAAAGATTTTGTTTTATGGTTTCTTGATCTGCTTTAGTGACATAAAATGGGGCTCACAAGCTATTTGGATCAAATTCTTTTTTAAAAACTTCTCTTATATTCATGAAGATTGACAAATGCAATGATCTTACCTTGAAAATAATTTTTTTTTAATAAATGGCATAAATAAGTAAATTTTTAGAATTTACTTAACAAGTCATTGAGTAAAAATGAACTTAGTTAAGAAAATCATGTAAACTAGTTTTTAA